TAGGGAAATTGAAAACTTTTAAGTGCATTCTAACTGAACTAATGTACTGCCACACTAATTTACATTATTAATTATATGGTACTCTTTAAAAGGGGATTAAATATTAAATAAACACGGATCATGTTTGACATATTCCTTCTTACAATGCGCTAAATACTTAATAACTGATATTTTGCTTTCAATTTTGTAAATGAGCTCAGTTCGAGAATTACATTTTGCGAGCTATTTTATTCGCCGAAACTTGAAGAAACAGCTGAATCCAGTACCTTCTCCTATTAGTGTTTACCTTACACAACAACCTCATAATTATAACTGCACCCACAATATAATACTCATCCTCCGACAACGTCTTCTTGATTTGACTAAGTATTGTTCTTTGGTGACCGAGGAATAAGCTTTCTGACGTCATTTTGTGTAGCTGTGTCGTGTCTTGTGTTTACTGACCGTTGTTTGTCCAAACGCACGTTAGTATGAGGCGTATTTGCTTTTGAATAAAAATTTCCTTGGATATTATCCATCGTCTAGTAAATATAAAACGTAAAACGACGTTTCGGAGATGGGACTCTATCTCCGGACTAGACGATGGATAATATCCAAGAAAATTTTTATTCAATTGACTCTTCACCATCGTCAAGAAGTTTTAGATTTGATATACGTATTTGCTTTATTCGAATTTCTTCATGTAGGAATTACAGAAATATCTTGACGAAGCTCCACATGGAGTAATCTACTTTAGTATGGGCTCAAACCTGGAAAGCTCTCAAATGCCCGAGTCTAAGAGAAATGCTATTTTGGAAGCGTTTTCAAAGCTGAAGCAGCACGTGTTATGGAAATGGGAGACAGACACGTTGCCAGGACAACCAAAAAACGTAAGGCTCGGGAAATGGCTGCCTCAATCCGACATTCTGGGTGAGTGTTCATGCTTACGAGTTTATAAATATACAGGCATACCTCGTAGATATTGCGGGTTAGGTTCCAGACCACCGCAATAAAGTGAGTCGTACGATTGTTTTGGTTTCCCAGTGCATATAAAAGTTATGTTTACATTATACTGTAGTCTATTAAGTGTGCTATAGCATTATGTATAAAAAACATTGCTAGAGGTACCAAAATGTGACACAGAGACACGAAGAGAGCACATGCTGTTGGAAAAATGGCGCTTATAGACTTGCTCGACGCAGGGTTACCACAAACCTTCAATTTGTAAAAAAAACGCAATATATGCGAAGCGCAATAGAACGAGGTATGCCTGTATGTTGAAATAAATTGTTCAGAATTAGGTCTATTAATTTTCGATTTGAATTATAATAAATGGTCATGTTTAAGCATATTTAAAAGAGGAAATAGTTTCGCCTTCTTTTGGGCGTAATACGTGTGGATTTTAAGATAATTTACAACGAGGAATTTCGTGAATCGTAGAGGTCAATTCGTATTGTTAG